ATGCCGAGGTTGTTGCCTAGTTTGCCTCAAATACTTGTTCAATGGACGCATTATACATGCAAAAACGCCCTGAGCTGCCGTCGTTGAATCCATGGCATCACAGAAATTCTGTAATATAAAAGTTCTTTTACTAATAATCACTTGAATTCTCTTGGCAACTTCTAGAGCCACCTTCGAAAGTACACCACGCTTATATGCGGAATCTCTTGAAGGCAGTTGGCACGATAAATCCTCCAAGACGAGTAGGATTAATACGCTGGCAGGACGGAATTCCGCGACCCTGAGCAGGCGCTGCATAATGCCTTTTCCAAGGGAGGTGCCCTTATAAGGGCCCTATCAAGCCACAACATACCGACCCAAACGCCCGCCCGCCCACAAATGGACGACCGTTCCTGACGCTCTAATCGATTCATTTGCTAAGCAAATTATGAAGCGAAGGGATTGGTATGAAGCGGCCGTGATGCTGCATGGATATATGAGTACACATATGCAGCCGTACCTTCGGTAGCGGTTATTGGCAAGATGCCTACAGGAAACTCGTCCAAAATTGATTTCTAACACATTGAGAACGGAGGCTCTTTCTTCGCAGGATTTTGACCGTTTCACTCCGTTCTTTCGCCATTTCCCCACTATATAGCGCCCTACTAGCATTTTAGGCCGAGCACCAAATCATCGTGCCAACTGCCTTTAAGCCACTGCGCCTTCCTTACCGGTGGACTCTTCGTCTCTGCAGTGTTAGGAGGAAGGCTCACCAACAAGAAATTTTCGAGGACCAAAGTGAGCCCGCCCATAAGACCAGCGTGAAATTTGCTTGAATTAACTGCTGCTTTGTTTCACTACTGTTTTCCGAGTTTTTTTGTATATAAGGCATAAGACGGAAGTGAACAAAGCGAACGCAATGGGCCACAAAAAGATAGAATATCCGCTGTCCCCGAATCACATAGTGATCGGGTTGCCGGCTTCTCATGACTAGGGTTTTTGACGAGTACCGGGAATTCAGAACATAGGTTTGGTTCAGCAGTATTCGTTAAGATCGGGCACGATCCCTGCAAAGACAGGGCTCGTAGGGGGGCATGACTTGGCACAGCAGAGCAGCCTTTCTGCCACTTGCTACATACTCGGAAGGCATCACTGTTGGAGAGGCCGTCAGAAGCGCTCCACCACGCCCTATCGTTTGCGGGGTTATTTCTGTAGCTTATAGAACTACGGGAACCGACACAAACTACCGCAAGGATTTTTTACAAAGGGCTGTTGGAGAATTCTTTTTATCATGAACCACTTTTCCTTCGCAGAATAATCCTTTTTTTCAAAGCGCCAAATAAAAAATACATCCAAGAACAGGACAGAGGAGTTAAGCTTTTCCCACTGATCGACGTTTTTTTTCTGGATGCGACACGTACTTCACTTTTATTCTCCATCGTAGTGACTTCTGAACCACGCCTATAAGAGGACTTGCGGGGTCCAGTCAGTATGCAAGGGTCAACTTTTCACCTCCCAGCGGGGCCTGGCACAAGAACTCTGGCTCATGGGATTCAAGGCTTGGTTGGCTGACAGAAACGCCATGGTTCCGCGCATTCAGCCCCTGAACCATGTGCGCGCCACTCGCCTACACCACCTAAGCCCCAAATTCAATTTAGTCTCAATTCAGTTAAATCCGATTCAGATTCTCAAAGCTACCAGTTTGAAAACCTATTAGAAGCCCGATTAGCACCCATTCAGTGCAGGCAAACCAATCCCTATGTGTTGTGGCTACCACCCGGACAATCCAATTACCGTGGAAATTATGATCTTATTTGCGCCAGCTTTGAAATTCCAAGCAAAGTTAATGACCTTTCGATTTGAATCGACTGCTTTACCCACATGTCACTTGGGATCAATAACCTGAGATTCACTGTGATTACCTTATTTCCTACTTGATTATCGACGATACTTTGCACTTGAGCAAATGCCTCCTCTGCTGAAGCGATCAGACGATACCTTGAAAAGAACCAGTTATATTTTTTTCTTGTCACATTACATTTAATAGCCTACTTTCGCTTCTTTATTCGTCTCTCCCATTCGCACTCTTCTTGAAGAATATCGTTATGATTGGTGTTACGGCGCCTGGAGGTCGCCTCCATGAGAGCGCGTAAGTTACTCTGAATTGTAGAAATTGGTACCGCTACTTTGTAAGTTGTTAAAAACCAAAAAAAAATACCTGGCTGATTTCTGTCGTTCCTCCCCCAATCCCTTCAATATCGTACATTTTGAAACCTGGCGGTTGTGAAATATTTCGGAGGCGGTGACTGGATTGGCGTGCCTAAATGACCTGTCGTAACAGCACTATCACTGGCTACTTACTGCTTATTACTTAATCAGTAAGGAGCTTCAATTTTGGAATAAGTGAAACTAAGGAAACAAAAACATACTCTATCAAGAAAAACATTATAAGATGGGAAGTGCGTTTCGTGAAAGCGTAGAACTTGAATGGCTGCCTCTTGTAATGACATCATACCTGAAATCAGGAAGTAACTAGTAGTGACATCGTCAATTACAGTTTTGACGTGAAGTAAACCTCCAAAATGTGGTTAGCAACATCAAGTCATATTTTCGGTCATACAATCCGCCGAGGTGGACCTGCTATAGCGGAACGCCTTCCAAGCGGTCCGGCGGTCAAACCTTGGATCAGCTCCACTCCGATCCACGGGCTATTTGGGGTCAGTTCCATAGAGGACGGAATTTAGCATAATGCGGCGTCGCGCGCGGAAATCTGCAAGCGCTGCGAACTTGCAATGGGCGAGTTGTCCTAGCTTATAAGTTGATCTCCTAATCATTTGAGAGTCACATCATTTGACTTCTGGCATACTCTCAGGGAATGGACTAATTATCGTATTGCTGAAGTACGACGGACTGTCCTGTTGAAAAAATAGCATCAAAATGTCACTGCGCCGTTCGCAACCATACCATACCTAGTCGCGCGCGACGCCGCGTGGTTCTACCGTCACATACCCGGTCCCTTTGTTTGCATCAATTTTCTGCTTTTCTCTGCGCCCCCTCGTCTGCATAGTGTTCAGTGGTCAGTCTGGCCTCACCATTTTCACGCTTGATAAGTCCTCTGGCTCACTACATGTTTTCTGCACATTTCGTCCCTTTTGCAGCCGGTTTCTCTAGCTGCCTGCTTTCAGGGCTTCGCTGAAGGGCCACGCACGAAAGTCCAAGTGGTCACGTTACCCCCTAGCCTCGCACGACGTGTGTCGCGGAATCCGCGTCGTAGGGATCGTATGTGATATTTTGGAAGGGCAGGGTCGTTTGGTGCAGGTGTCGTTGTTGATTAGAGCAGGGCAACGTTAGTGGGATGAATGGTTTTTTAGGCACCGTGAAGCGCGCTATCTTCGCCGGTAGTGGAACGTTGATCCCAGCCGCTCACAGCCAGTCACAGCACGAGCGCGAGATTGAGAGATAGAGTCGACGCGCAGCGCCGCTGCCATCACAATATGGAAGCCGCGCGGCGCGTTGACTCTATCTCCGACTCTACCTCAACTCCTATTTCACACCCCCTCCGCAAAAGGTCGCAAGGTAACTCATGACAAATTTATATAGTCCAAGTTAAATTACACTATAGATATAATCTACACTTGTTGTTTGTGACCCCCCCCCCCACTGAGTTAGTTTTCGGAGTACTTTTGGAAGATTTCAGGCATGCTTCGCGCGAGAAATCGATCGATCTTACACCATCTCTATGAGAGGACGAAGCCCCTTTCCCTCTACCTCTACATATAAAAGTTCCGCTTTTGATTTTTTTTTCATTTCTTATTTTGTTTTCTTATGCAAAGTACATATGAACAAAACGAACCAATGGGCATCGTCCTTTGACTCTCCATCAGGATCTCGAACAATGGTGACAATGTATTCCTGACGTATTCGTCGTAGTTCCAAGACAATTACTGAGATGTAGTGTGTATATAGTAAAGCATCTAGTAGTGAAAGAGCATATGTGACCTGAAATTGCAGAGCTGTTAAGGACTTCCACAGAAGTTTCAGACTTTTTTCCTAAACTGTATGGCCAGCCGGCCGAACACGTGCACAGTCACATCAGAGCCACCTGGCCGGCAACGCTAATTAGTAGCAAAGTAAAAACGCACGAACAACAAGAAAAACTTCATGGTCTGTCACGGTCTGTTCCCTCCTTTGACCTGAGCAAGTGCATCTTGAAAAAATCGTTTGGACCATGCCTAGCTCATACATAAATGCCAGCAGTCGTGGAAGAAACGGGGCGTTGATCAAATACACGGTCGGTCGCGGAAGGTTCCAGCCTAAGCCTAGGGCGATGGAGCTCGGAGGAAGATAAAGTGGCCCGAATCTCCTCCCCTCTAGTGGCATAAACGAATTCTCCATCCCCTTGACCTACCCCGCACATTTCAGCACTAAAGTTTACTTAGTACGGAAGAAACAGAGGAAGTTACGAGGAAACGAAGCTCAAATCTCAAAAAACGTTGTTGCGCAGAGTGGACTACCGTAATCCGTAATATTGCAACAAATACCTCAGCTCATTTGATAAGCGTGGGAAACTGGTTACTACACAAAATTTGCATGGGAATTCACATCAATGGACTTCTTGAGTTTTATCTATGCGTGGAGGAAGTTTGTAAGTCTATACACTGATCACCTATAGAAATCCGTACTGCAATAGGCTTTCGTTAGAGTTGGGTCTACCGTAGTCCTCCGTAGTCCATGTTTCTGGGACACGCCAGTATTGGGGTCGTAAACTATGCTTACTCTAGAAGGAAAAGGCCTCACATCCTCATGTTGAGCATCCCCCTTCCCCATGTGTTAACTATAGTACCCCAAACGTCTGGCGGAGTTGTCACACTAACTTGCCTGTGTGCATTTCCTCTCCCCTGACCCCAAAACAAACACTGGGGAGCTCTTCTCCTTGAGGGAAAGTATGCTAAGATCATTCATGGACCCCCCAGATACTGAGAAGAGATGATGGAGACAGTACTTCGAAGACAAGTCAGTTTTCAGCGAACGGTTTCTTTCACCCCCTCCCAACTGAAAATCTCAGTCATTCATGAAGTCTTGGACCTCACAAAAACAAGATTCTTTATGTAACTTCTGAGGCGTAGGTACTGTG